CCGATGATCTGAAGATGCCACGCATCAAAAGAAAGAATTTTCTGTTTGTTGTGTGTTTGAGCTACATATTTACACGACTACAATGCATGGCATTGTGTCAACAATGTGATACTATTGCTGGCATACCAGAAAACAAAAATAACAACAAACGCACGAATTCGTTCACGAGTTCACGCATTACGTTGCCCCGGAGTATATCCAGCTTTGAGAAGATAACTTGATGAGCTGTGAGCAAACAGAATGGACAGCAGCCTACGTCAAGGGAAGGAAAGTGTTTCTAGAATTTCTTTCTCTGTTCACGTAATTGCAAAATATGCATGAAACAGTGGCCGTTCGAGAACTTTCGTTCGGGAGGGGTGAGCTACAAAAATCCCAAATTGAATAAACAGGGCGCAGCGTTACCCGCGCCATCCGAGAAAGAAATTTTGAGATGCTTTCTGAGATCCTATAGTTACAAGCTGATTCTGGTTTGATTTCAAAGATTTCTCAATCACACAGAAAACAAACCAATTGCAATTAACCCATGTAGGCAACTTTCGAAATTTCACGACCTATAAGCCTCATTTCTTCTGATACCGGTATGAAATCAAGCCCAGCAGGGAATACACTTTAACTTTTGAGGTATTTTCTCAAAAGATTGGCCAGAAAATTTTCAGTAGTTCTCGGCACAGATATATTTGGTTATTTGCATGTTGTTCTCACACAGGCAATGTGCTCTAGAATTTTTTGAGCTCATTTTCAAGCCTCGACACGAGGTGGCTTTCCGAAAATGCAAAAACGAAGTACCCCTGAATTCCGCAAATTTTACGAAGTCCCATTTGATCCTTATCTAAAATATCCGAAAAACACGGAACATCGACTAAAAAAATAATTTCGGACCCACAAAATCAATATTCCCTTTGCTTTTGTCCCAAAAACGATATCCAGCTTGCTTATACCTGTGCCAAGCCCTGCTCATTTTACCTTCTTCAGTCGAAATTTATCTCAGTCTTAGGTCATGAGTCAGAAGATTCGGCAACTGTCGTCTCTTTTAAGTTCTAGACATTTCTAAGACAGTTGAGCATTAAAACACTTGCAATATGAGAAGTCGTCAATAAGCGATTCTCACGGTACTGCTTAGAGTGCGAATTATTCATGAATTTTAGTAAATATTGTTGTGGTCATCAACATGTGACTCTGGGAAAAAGCTATGGCTTTGTGCCTTCTTCTCAAGAACCGCGGGATCCTTTAAATTATGGTCCACTGCGTATGAAACAGAAAAAAGCATTTTTACATAGCTTGAACGAGATACGAATCCCTACTGAGCTGGAACTATTCTAATCAGTGAAAGCAAAAAAAGCTTTGTCTTTAGCCTATCGAACGGAAGATAGGGATTTGCAAATTGCTGAGAGATGGTGAATGGTTTAAACTGGTGGGCGGAGTAGTCCAAGCCATTGTTGCATTAACAATTCTGTAATTGACTTGCAAATGAAAAGCTAGTTACAGTTTATTTGCATTATTATTTGCACAAGGCCCAATGCAGACTCTCATATGACATTTCCAATTTCATAAGAACATCAAACACTCGTTGTTACCATAAGCAACAAACGCTACTTTTCAGTTTTTGAAAAAAAAAAGCGATTAGATCAAGTTGTGTAATAAGTTCTGTGTCATCCTTTCTTTGAATTTTTTCACAAAATTCTGTATAGTTAGTATATAGTTTTGCAATACATAGTTTTTTTTTTCAATATCCTGCTTAGTTCGGAATGACGCATACAAATGCAGAGCAGACTTGGAACTTTCAAAAGCATATACACTTCATTCCAAATAGGGTAATTTTTATTGATAAAAAAATCGAAAGAAAAATGGGACAGAACTTATTACATAACCTAATAGAATTGCGTTCAATTAGAATTGAGCGTACAATTGTAATTATCCAGATGGTGTCTATATGGCAAGAAACCCGAAAAATTGACAAAGATAAGAACTTATGAGTTTATGGTTACCCAGAAAGTCACGGAAAATAATGGCAAGGGACATGCATGCGTTACGTAGATAACTTGATATTATAGATTTTCATGCTTATAGCATTAGTCATCTAAGCTCGGCTAGAGGAAGGGAAGAAAGAAAAATGGAAAGAACTGCTCAAACAATTTAATTCCTCTCGACAACAAAAGCATACACATATTTTTGCTATCCTTGAGATTTCTCAAACAAAATCGAAACGACTATTCAAAAGCTCCGCAAAACACAATCGCGTGACCAAAAGCTCTAGAAAAATAAGCCACTGGAAAATTCTCCATACCTACTTGACACTGCTTTGCTTTGGCTGTGCCAACTCCAGTGCTTAGGTTGATTCTACAGTGAAATCTCTGCAGAATAGGAGCAAAGATCAAGCTTCAATCGCTAGACAAGTGACGAGATACATGAAATAGAATGAAGCCAATAAGCCCGCAAAACGTAGGTGTGATTGCCTTCATTACTTCCCCAAATATACCTCAAACAGGGTTTTACGTCAGCGAGCCAAAAATAGTGACGAGCTTGACTGCTGTGGAACGTTTTGCAAAAGGGGTGTATGTCAAGAGGCGCGATTTTTATTGCCAGATGGATATAAAATAGCGAACAAGTGCTTTACCACATTCTAAAAACATTCAGATTTTAGAAGGAGATATATTGGATAGGTATATGAGTTTCTCAATCTTGCTACTTTGGAATTAATTAAAAACAGCAATTGTGAAGGTCGAAAACACGTGAAAGTGCAGTCAAGAACAAATCCGTGAATATTTCTGTCCATTTTCCAGCAAAAGCCCCGAAAATCAGCAAATGACAACCATAGACGATAGTAAGCTGATGCACTTCATGTGGTATTTTTTGAGGACTAGCGTAGCAGTAGACCGAAGTTTTGAGTTGGTGACAACCGGAGAAATCGCGCCTCTTGACTGTCTCCCTTGCAAAAGTATGAATGGTCCCAGTTTTGCAAAATCAATTCAAGCGTGGAGTAATTCACTAGGATTGCACTTGCTTATATTGAAATTGTTTGTTTACAAATGAGTTAGAATTAATGCAGATTTACGTGCAGGGTTAGGAAAACTTAAATAAAATGGGAGCAAAAATCAATTCTCAGTTAAAATATCTAAAATCAAACTCTCATCCTTCAATTATTGGATTCAAAAGCAGTGACTCAACCTCAGAAAAAAATGCGTAAAAAATGCAAGGTGTATGGAAGAGCTCAACGCAACGATTACGTCTTACAAAAGCTCAAAAGTTATACTTTGATCATGGAAAACATAAGTGAAATTGGCCGAAAATGTTTACGGCCTAGTTCTGAATTTCCAAGAATAAAAGTCACCTATATGGATTCATCAAAACATCAATAAGGCGTAATGATGTCCACCAAGTCCAGTTACAATTCTGTTAGCCTTGTTAGAGACATCGTGTCTGTCTGGCACGAATTCTGAGACCAAAATAAAGCTGCACTTTGGTCACACGAACATCACACGCTTCCCTAATTGGGACCTGAATTTTGTGTGGGGACAGCAAAACCCTCTGATGAACTTGAGTAATGCCGAGAACGGTAGAACCTCAGGTTGTCAACTGAAAGATGAAAAATCAAAGATGAAAATTTGAACCGAAATAAAAATTTGATTGTTCGGAGATTGGCACGCACTCTACCGAACTGCATGTACTAAACCGAAAAAGATATCCGAACAGCGAATAATCAAAAGCTTATCTACTTTATATTTTCCAAAAGATACAATAAAGTAAGAAAATTCTTGAACTTCACATTTCCATGAGACCTCTGTGCTTTCTGATCCTACAAATCCCACAGGGATTGCTTCGTTTCTCACTTCTTTACGACAGATTCGATTACTGCCATGTATGACGTACCCACCAAGCAGCACAGATCACAAAAATGGTAATCTACGACTCGAGCAAGTATTTCTAAGAAAAATGTAGTTCGAAATGACGAGTTTGAAAGTCAGCAGTGTACATATACTTCCGGGATAGATCTTTGCTGTTCGAGGAACTGAAACAGACACATCAAGTGAGATGTGCACTCCCTGGAGCTTTGGAGTTCAATCAGCTGTATCCATAAAATTTATTTGGCTATTACCAAAAAACACGTGTCAAAATCAGTGTTGCGATGGGGAAAAAGGACAAGTGTGACGATTTCTGATTCTTTCCAGGGCGAAGTCTAAAGTGGTGAAAAACGTCAGCTGAGTTCATGAAAAACTGTCACAAATATTGCTAACCGCAGTCGATTGAGAGAAATCCTTACTGTCGCATTTCGTACACCGTAAAATTTCTGAGTTGTAAAAGCTTCAAATTTCCTCAAATCTTGTACATAAGATCCAATCGACATGATCGGCGCTGTTCTTATGGTTAGCAAATTCATCGCTCTGCAGAAACACACAAATCTTACTTTCTTATCCTTTCATCTAAGCATCTCTTTTTTCCTTCGTTTTATTCACACTTTCTTCGATGTCTTCAGGCGTATCTCTCCTATTACAGGTTGCAGAAGAGCGTTTCCTCTAGTGCTCCAAAAGGCTGAAAAATACTAAGAAAACTCAATTATTTTTAAAACTTCTTTTTTAGGCATCGCATAGGAGTTGGTGAGAAAAGCTCAGTAATGAGCCTTGAGAAGATATTCAGCAAGTTAATTCAATATTTCAGCGATAGATATACCCCCTGCAGCGCTCCCAAACATCGAAATTTCACGATTTCTGGATCATTTGGTGGATTTTTGCGTTAAAAGACTATAATAGTACGTTGGTAGTTATGTTTTTTTTTATTTTAGTTCGCACATCTCAAGAATTGGCCGAGTTTCAAAAACAAGCACTTTTCTTCTTTCAAGAATAAAGTAGCATTAATCCGGTAGAAAACAATAGTCAAAGGATTTTTTTCATAATGACTCACCGGTATTCAGGCGTCTAGTTTGACCTTCTTACTATTTTCGCGATAACTCGTTTCAATACCACCAGATATGTGATCAAAACCTATCCTCCGTCAGAGCTTTCAGCATGTTTACATCGGGTATTAGTCGGATAATGGTCTGCGTTGGAGATCACCGCATGCGTTGGAACAGAAAATAGTGCCACTATTTAAGCAAACCACGCCAAATCTATCCTGGTATCAAGCCATTATATCTGTCAGTTCACTGTAGTAAGTCAGTTAGATGTCATTTTTGCTTATCGGTAAAGGCTCTTACAGAAAATGAAATCTTTATTGGTTGTGGGGTTATTTATTGTCGGCGTGATAGCTAGCAACTTCGATGAAGATGAGGATAAGAAGCCCAACAGACTGGGAATTCTGTCCCCACCTGCAAAAGAAACATTAGGTAAGCTTCCACTAAAGAAGCATTTAACTCTTAGCCTACTATGATACAGGTCACTTGCGAACATACTTATCAAATAGAAACTGTCGAAAAACCTTTCTTCCTGTGGCAATTCTTCAAAAAGCTCTGCTTTTTTTCATAGGGTACCAAATTTTGGCAATGGATAACATCAACCTTTGAGGCCAATTTTTGTGAAATGCAAGATGTATTCTTATCTTGGGATCCATGTATTTATCAGAAGAACGCAAAAATGACCGTTTATCAAGTTTAGTTTAGTTCTGAGGGACAGTACTTTTACTCTGTATGAAAAGTGGAAAAGTGTCTGGTACCAAATCACTCAAAAATTCTCTGGTATCGAGTCGTCGATAGGTGGTTGTTTGTTTGCCGCATACAATGGCTCATCTGTAATAGATGCCCACTTTTTTGGGGCGGTGCGGTTGTCACAGGCTGGCTTTCGTCATCGATCGATACCAGTGGCGTACCCAGGATTTCGGCTCGGGGGGGGGGGGGGAAGCGACAAAAATTTTTCTCTAATCAAGGTGCGTGGCGTCAGCCACGCACTCCGAAAAATTTTTTGGGATGTTTCCCAAAATTTTCCCGGGCCCCTGACCCCAAAATGTCAGAAAAAGGGGGCGTGGCGGCAGCCACGCCCCCGAAAAAAATTTTTTTACAAGGCTAATTTGAATTTTTAAAAATTTTTAAAAATTATTTTAATTATTTACAAGTAAAAACAAGTCCTCCGCACATTTTTATAACACATTTGAGTAACTACAAAAATTTCGCGACTCATTCTCGGGGGGGGGGGGGGCGCCCCCTCCCCCGCCCCCCCCCCCCTCGGTACGCCACTGATCGATACCGATTTTATCGATTTTTTGCAAAGTTCGACCTAAGGTGCAGGTTGTTGACACAAGGGGTTGAGTGAGCATGCTGAAACGAATACAATATTAGTCTTTGGAATCATCTGTTACTTTTATCGATTTTATCGATATTTTTAAGTTTGTGCTGCGGGGTGGGATGTGGCACAGTGGGTAAGCGAGCATACTAATCACGAAAACAAAAAGGACAGATGGAGCTGGCGTGTAGAAGTGGGCACAGAAGACTGTACAAGTTATGGTAACCGTTATTATAGTGCTGATAAGACTAGGCGGAGCCGGGTATGCCAAGCTGATAGTATGATAAGATAAAAGATACCTGAAAAACATGCGAAGAGCTCCGAAGCCCGAGTCTGTTCTGGAAAGTAATGGGAGTAAACTGAAACTAGAAGACTGTCTTTGCGTATTCTCCGTAAATAACGGTTTCAGCTGTAAAAAGAAAATCAAAACTTATAAGACCGTGTTGATGACTTTGAGTTTTTAACATAAAAGAAATTTATGGAACTGTTTATAATTTCTTAGCTCCACTACATTAGCTAATGATTAAATGTTGTTTGACAACTGCAATTCGATAGCATGCTGAAGATTCTTTACAGAATGCAAGAAGAATGAAACTTCTGGATGTCAGCCGTGTGTCGCGGAAAAGACGTGCCAAGCAAGCCCCGAGGACACAGTATCTTCTTGTAAAACGGAGTGCAAGTAAGTAAGCAGCTTATGAAAGTGAGACTATCTCTGTATGTAGTTGTTCTTGTAATGATATGATTTCAGAGTCACTTGCGTTTGCTTGAACACTCACGTTAGAGGTCCTGAGGGCAACTGTATTCTTCGAGCGGAGTGTCCAAAGCAATGAAGAATCTCAGCAACTGCAATATGACAGGGCGATTGAGCTAATTGTCAATAATATTCATGTCAAACCGTACTTAGCAATAAGACTTCACCACTTCATATCTCGCAGGTATTTAGAATTGCATCTGCTGTAGAACCATTTTTGCTTTGCCAGTTTTTGCAGTGATCAAAATAGGCAGTTCGGGAGCACTTCAACAAGGAGTTATAGTCCACTAAACAAAAGGAAAGTGAGATTCGCCTTCGGTCAAGTTTTAGTAAATGTAAAGACTTCTAAAGCAAGTGGCAATAACGACACATCTCAAAGTAGAAAGCATTAAAATCTCGTTACAAATTGCTGCTGGAGTCTTGTGATAATGATGCTGTTTGAATATTTACACATGGAACATATTTGGGAGAAGGTCTCGAATAATCTTTAAGTTTGAGGAAGGTATATGGGTCCGTCCTGTCACTGTAAATTGAAAATACCAGTGCGTAGCCTCTGCTTCGCAGAGGCTCGCACTGGCTCTACTATCCATATGCCTCATTACTTTCCCATAATGATGGCATTGAAACACACCGCGCAGTGGCCGACTACCACGAATAGGATGTAAACAATCACTCATTTTAACAGCTTTTTCATGTGAGATCGGTGATTTCGCGAGGATGGAACTTTTCGCCGAAGGACAAATGCAAATTTGAGTGGGTTCCTGGATTTTTTATGGTTTGGTAGTTGCCATAAGGCCAATAGCCACCGTGAGCAACACTTCTGCGCAAAAATCTTCTCAAATGCGCCAGCAGAACGTTTTCAAATTGACCATTTACGCAACCAATCCATTTTGGCGTCATTTTCGCAAAGTAGTAGATTTTTGCCCATTATTTGGGTTAGAGTCCAAGGCTTGCACAATTACTTGTCAAACACCTCAAGGACTTCGCAAAAAGTGCTGATAGGGACCCAATTTTGTGGCAGAAGCGAAGTGGACCCGTTTGACGCGCAATTTTGTGAGTTCCACTCAACAAATCCGCTCACGCTTTTGCATGGTGGAGTTTTGTGCTGGTAGCATGTGCTGTGCAAAATTTGGGCCCAGGACGTTTGCTGGAACACGCTCCACGAATTTCGTAACAGACACACACACAAAGTCACGTAAACATCCTTAGCCCGTTATTATAAGTCATGATTGTTATAGTTTCGAAAGGCACCCAACTATCGTAGAGTTACCGAATACATTGAATGAGAATTTTCAAGCGGTTGAGCAATAACATTTATCAGCCTATTATCGTCCATAGTTGTGGAAGAATCGTGATTGTGCATTGCTAGAAGGTGCCCTTTTGCGCTACGTTAACTCTGTCGGCAAAATCCGAATTCTTTCCTAAAATCTCCTACAAATGCATTGTGCTTTCCGAGATATTTCTATGCACTGCCTAAAGAAGTTTGATGGTGTCTTCTAGCTTGTGGAAATAGACGAGATCTTATCCGGTGATAGAGACTGTATACGAGATGTATATGAAATATGGCTTGAGCTCGATCACAGATTCGTATCAGGTGGTTTTGTTGAGTTCTCAGTGATCTTTACGAGGCAGAAAATTCTTGGATATATGAGTGAGGGCCGTTTCCAGGTGTACCCGAATAGTTGCCACCAGTGATGACTACCCAAATTAGCTCAGCAATTGGAACAAGGCCATCTTCGACTACAACTCGACTTACTTTACCACGTGTCACCAACATAGTCTCACTTAAAGGCAGTGGATCGGCAAAATTTAACAACTCAGGATTTTAACGCGGTAGGTTCCTTATCGCCCAGGTATGAAAACAGTGCAATCCCGGTTGCACAGCATGCTTTCTCTGCCGAGAAAATTGCTCTCAAACTTACACGCGCAGGCCAAACTTACACGCATCCGGACGAGTTGACAATTTCCTTCTCACCATTGGAGGCTGCCCGGCGCAGCGCTATAACTATTGGGTCCTGCAACGATTTGGCGTCACCGGCCTTGCTCCACTCGCCCAATTCCAAAGGGAAGGGCATTGAAAAGCGCTTATTGTCGCCGCTTTCAAGCTTTCAAAAGTGGATTTTCGGGAACAGCGTATTGAATAACCCCAGGTAAGCGCAAATCTGACTAGGTTGAGATTTGCCGAGCCACTGCCTTTAAAGGCAGCGTCCATGCAGACGTCCGGGCCCTCGAGGACCAGGCCCACTTCCTCGCACGGCCAACCCCCTTGAAAGGAATATCCTCAGCCGTTGACGTATTTTCACATGGCAAACACATCGACACATAACGTTTATCTGTTAATGCTTGCTTTCGACGAGGATAGCATCAGAAGCATTTGTCCGGGTTTTCCCAAAATAGCCATAAAAAGGTGGTTTTTGGGTGAGTGCCATATTTAGAATCAGCGCCGTGAACTGGCCTGTACAATATGAAAGTACTAGCTGGCTTACCCGGCTCCGCCGTATGTTCCGAATAGAAAATTCCATTTCTCAACCGATCCGGACCAAACTTGGCACACATACACTTCGGGCCCCGGCGGGTATCATAGGCTACTTTTCGTCATCGATCGATATTGATTTTATCGATTTTTTGCAAAATTTGAGCTAGGGGGCCATTTTTGGAATTTTCTATTCGGAACATACGTACAGACAGACATACAGACAGACAGACATACAGACAGACAGACAAACAGACATTCAGCTTTATATCTAAGATGATAGTCGAGAACCTGCCTGGACGCCGCCTTTGACTACATCGCAGATTTGGCCTTCTTGTAAGAAAAATCGGCTGCCTTGACTTGACCACACGTATAAGAAGGCGATCCAGCCGATATAAATTCTTAATCTAGCATAGGACCCAATCTTTCGAAATCTTTCCGATTTCACTAATCCACCACTTCTCCCACGATGTCATATTTTGTTTTTGCGTCTGAACGACATTTACACTTTTGCACTAGCTTTGATGCACCTCCACTTCCAAAAAATAGGAGAAAGTTCTGGATGACAAATAAAATCCTACGGATCTCTTACTCGTTCATGGGTATCATCTTTGTAGATCTGGTAAGCGTAATCCGTAATTCTGGTTTTCTGTTTAGTAGTTTTACCAACGCACGTTTTCCACATTCTCCGCAACTATTGCGGTACTGCATACAAAATAATCATGTACATGGATAGCTACATTTTTGCTAGCCTTTACACTTCCTTGGTGGTAGGTACTTACCAGAGTGAAGGGAGGTGATTTTGCGGACAGCTAGTTCATGACTGACCCTTTCATATTTAGCAATGGAGTTGAACTAATAAGCAGCGGGACCAGACCCAAGGAGTGAAAGGTATCCTCCTTGACCTCCTTCTACTACCCATCATGGAATCTTCCTATCTCTATCGAACAAGAACTCTATCAAAGAGTAGTTATGAAATTAGGTATAATTGTTATTTTACGACTAAAACAAAATGAAATGAACTAAACCTACCTTAACTGTGCAATCAACTGTTGACCACCTAATATCTGAACGGTGAACAAAGCGCAAAGAAATACTCAAAGCTGTTGAATTGAATGAATTATAGAGAGTAGCAGGATAAACAAAATTGAATACTATTACTAATTATACTTTTGATAATTATATGTCCAGATATTTTCACTGAAACCATCGAATGTCTGATACATTATTTGCAAGTGAAATGTTTGCTATGAAACCTGAATATGTTTTGATTTGGTGTACATTGAGCAATAGGTCTATCTTGTGATCCGATTCGGTTGAACAGTGTAATGGATCAAAAATCAGTTTTACGACAAACCAATCGTAATACGCATGCGAAGTTCTCATGCACGCCATGCATATCATCAGAGCTATGTCAAGTCTAGGGGTGTACGGGTGTCGACGACATCGACTATAGAATAGTGATACTGTACATTGCTTGTTTGTTTGTCTTCTGTCTATACTTTTGTTATTGCTATTGTCAGGATTAAGGGTTCGCGATTCCCTTACCTGATGTGTAGCGGTACAGGTTGGTATTATATATTTATTATCTACATATGTTACAATAGAGGGGAAGGGGGAAGACTGAGCAGCCTTACGGGGCGCGGTCGTAGACGGTCACTGGCTCCTATCTGACCTTCTCGGCCAGCTCACGGGAGAGCAGCAGGCGGAGCTTAGCTGCGTCCCGACATCTCCATTCCTTCTGAAAGCTCGTCCTCGAGCTTGTTCGGCTGTTGTTGAACGTCTTCCGAGTTACGTGTGTAGGGAGTACACGTGTTACGGCGAGACCATAGAGAACTTCGATTTCGGTACATTATCTTCATACTGATTGAGTGGAGGAGTTGGTTTAGGCGGATTGGATAACCAAACAGCGACCTTCACCTCATCCTAGGGGTACAGAGTAAGCTTGTCCTCAAGCGGAGAGATATACGGAATGAACGATGTGACGTAGGGGACTGCTTGAGAGAGGCAGTAACATGTAGTTGTAGGAAGTGAACAGGCGTGTTATAGCCGGAAATTGACGAATAGGAAAGTTAGCGTAGAGATTTATAGGAGTATAATGTCACCGGTATTTGAATGTTGGTACGAGGAAGTTATGGGTTGGAAGGGCACTTGTTGTACATGTTAATAGAAAAATTAGCATGGTGAGCAGAAATTACATAGTTAACAAAGTATTGGGCAATATTGGATGACATTAGTGATTCTGAAGTTATATTTTACATAAAATAGTTAAGCGACATGTGGAGTTTTTGGGATGTGTGATAATAAGACAGTTAGGTAATTTGAACCGAGTGACATATGGTTATACAGCATATAAATAATGCGATCGATTAGAAAACGGAGAAGAAGAATTGGATGCACAATTGTGCACAACAAACTGTGTTTAATTCAACATAGTGGCAAATTTTGAGTGTTAGAGAAATGGGAAATTTTTTTTCGCTGCCTAACACAAAATGTTTTTTCATTCTTTGAACTGCCGGTTCAAAGAATTTTATGCTTATAGATAATCGCAGCGGTGCGGCAAAATGGGTGTAAACGAACTCACGTTGTGAAATATCCAGACAGCA